AGGCTTACCTTAATGTATTCCTAAAGAAAGTAAAGAAAAAAAATAAAGAAAACTGTTAGAAAACTACCAAAATACCACCTCCGAAATGCTTACCTTAGTTTTGAAAAGAGTATTTTCCTAAAAAAAACAAAGAAAAATAAATAAAAATAGAGTAAAAAATCATAATGAAGTAACTTTTAAAATGCTTACCTTAGTTTCGAAAAGAGTATTTCCCTAAAAAAAGCAAAGAAAAATAAAGAAAAAAGAGTTAAAAACCATCAAAAAGTCGCCTTCAATTTACTTAACTTAATTCCAAAATAAGAATTTCCTAAAAAAACAAGAAAAAAAAAAGGAAATTGCTTTAAAGTCACTTCCGATTTGCTTACCTTAATTCCAAAATAAGAATTTCTTTAAAAAATAAGAAAAAAGAAAGGAAAAAGTTAAATTTTCGGCCAAAAATCGCTAGAAAAAAAAAATGAAGAAAAATTTTTTTTCAGAAAATTTCGAAAGTTTATCAGTTTTATACTTTAAACTGAACTAAAATTTCGATTAATCCGAAATTAAGATATTATTTATTCATTAAGAACGATTTATCATAAATGCTCCAAATGGATGATTTTGCATCATCCGATTAGAACGATAACGAAATTGTTCGTTCAGAATGATAATAAAATCATTCTTTCAGAATGATAATTCTTTATCTTAAAAACGATATAGAAAATCGTTCTAAAGGAATGCTTATGCATCGTTCCAGTAAAACAATAATAAAATCGTTCTTTTGGAATGATAATTTGATCGTTCCTTAAGAATGATATAGAAAATCATTCTAAAGGAATGATTATGCATCGTTCTAAAAGAACGATTGTATATCGTTCTAATAGAATAATGAAAAAAATCATTCTTTAGAACGATAATGCATTGTTCTTTCGACAAAGAATGATAAAAATATTGTTCTTTTGATGAAGAACGATAAATGCATCATTCTTTCAGAAAGAATGATAAATGCATCGTTCTTTTCAAGAAAGAACGATAAAAATATCATCTCTTGGGAACGATTATATTGTTCCTTTTGGGACAATTTGTATCGCCCCTTTTGGGACAATTTGTATTGTCCCTTTCGGACAATTTGTATTATCCCTTTCGGACAATTTGTATCGCCCCTTTTGGGACAATTTGTATCGTCTCTTTCAGACGATTTCTATCACCCCTTTAGAGACGATTTGTATCGTTTCTTTAGGGAAGATTATTCGTTCCTTTAGAAACGATTTCTATCGTTCTTTTCAGACGATTATATCGTTCCTTTTGGGACAATTTCTATCATTTTTTTCAAATGATTTGTATCGTCCCTTTAGGGATGATTTGTATCGTCCTTTATAGACAATTTGTATTGTCTCTTTAAGGACGATTTCTATCATTCTTTTCAGATGATTATATCGTTCCTTTTGGAACAATTTCTATTGTTCCTTTTGAGACGATTTCTATCATTCCTTTTGAGACGATTTCTATCATCCTTTTCAGACGATTTGTATTGTCTCTTTAGGGACGATTTCTATCGTCCCTTTTGAACTATTTCTATCGTCCCTTGTGAGATGATTGTATTGTCTCTTTTGGATGATTTCTATCATCTCTTTCGAGATGATTGTATTGTCTCTTTAGGGACGATTGTTCGTTTCTTTAGGACAATTGTATCATCTTTTTAGGGACGATTGTTCGTCTCTTTAGAACGATTTCTATCATTCCTTTAGAGATGTTTACTTTCGATTAGAATGTTACAATTTTCGCAAAAATCAGCTCAACTAATTTCAGCCAGTGAGATATAGTTAATTTGTTGCCAAATTTTAAGTCTAACTGAAATTTAACCAAATATCAATACCAAAAGGTCTTAATGCCGAAATAATGCTAAATTAAGTGTGGTGTAATAAATAACTACCGATTTTTATAACTCAAGCCGAATTTTTGCTGAATCATATGACTGAATCAGCTGAATGGTTACAAAAAAGTCTTAGTACTGAAATAATACTAAATTATATGTAATATAATAAATGACTATTGATTTTTGTAACTCAAGCCGAATTTTTGCTGAATCATATGACCGAATTGGCTGAATGTTTTATGAAATGTCTTAATGTCGAAATAGTGCTAAATTATGTGCCATATAATGAATGACTATTGATTTTTATAACTCAAGCCGAATTTTTGCTGAATCATATGACCGAATTGGCTGAATGTTTTATGAAATGTCTTAATGCCGAAATAGTGCCAAATTATATGCAATATAATGAATGACTATTGATTTTTGTAACTTAAGCTGAATTTTTGCTGAATCACATGACTGAATCAGCTGAATGTTTGATGAAATGTCTTAATGCCGAAATAGTGCTAAATTATGTGCAATATAATGAATGATTATTAATTTTTATAAATTAAGCTGAATTTTACCAAATCACATGATTGAATCAGCTGAATGTTAACCGAATGGTATTAGTGCTGAATGAAATGATTTCGACTAGTGTGAGATAGCATCTCTTAAGACTGAGATAAAATCACTTAAATAGCGCTTTTATAAAGCATTGCAGGATTTACGATATAAAGGTAACGCTAGTACTACATAAAATATTCATATTTTAAGGTTAGAAGATAAGATTAATCAGCTTAAGACCCGTATTTATGAAATAACTGTTCTAAGTCATAAAAAAGTTTCAAATAATAAAAAATATTAGATATGAAGCATATAATACAAGCTATTTTAGATGGACAATTTGAGGTTTCAGCTTCTTTAGCAAGAATTCAGATACATTTGGATAATGCAGAGGTTATACTTCCAGATGATATAAAAGGATAAATTGATAGAGTTGGTACATGTTTAGCTAATATTATTACTTGTACTGGTACAATTCGTCAGTTTTGGCAAGATCGAAATATGGTAGTAGAATAAAGTGTTAGACGAGCTAGAACTCTAGGGCAACAATTGCAAGAAGTCCAAGCTAGATCACAGAATGATAACCAAATACTAACACAAGCTCTAAATAATAAAGCAAATGAACGACAGGTATGTTGGCTTAGGACTTTGAGAGCAGAAAGGCGTAACCATATATTATTACAAGAAAAGGTAGGCCTTTGGTTAATATATCGAAAACATAAAGCTGAAGTTGACTTAGCAGAATTCAATAGAGCCTGAGTATTTAACCGTTATCAAAAATGGAAAGCTCGAGAAATAAATTTGAGACAAATTATTTTGAATTTACAAATAAATCCTCCAGGAAATATGGCTATCCTACCAGATGTTTAAAATTCAATGGTCCCACTTTTAGCTCAAATACCGCAATATGTTGATCAAGAGCTACCAGATGACTATTATAATAAGGTTATGCAGGCAATTAATTATGGTTATTTATTAGGAGTAGTAACCTTTAATGATGGTGTGAAAACTAATGTATTAGCAGGAAAGATGGCAGGAAAGTTTACTCCTCTTAATCAATTTAATAATAGTGCTGTAATCGTGGTTGTTATTCCAGTATTATTTATAGTATGACTTTGAGAAACATATTATGCAGTAAAACTAGATTCAGCACAAGCTTTTATGAAAGCGCTTATGACTGATAAATTACTTTATATTGATACTCCAGAAATATATGAAAAATAAATTAATCCACGTGTAGATGCTTTACCATTTGCAGATGCTCTACCTATTCTTTATAGTCATTTACCTGAAAATTTGAAATTACGGATTAAAATCAGAAATCCAGTAGATCTAAATGCCTTTTTTACCCAACTTAATGATAAATGGTTAGAAGCTGGTGAACGTATTGGTATTTTCTCCTTCGGTAAAGAAACTCTATCTCATTCATCTATACAAAAAGATTCGTAAGCTAAACATGAATTTATAGTTCGTCTTGCAAAGGATTTGGATTATTTAGGTGTAGCAATAGATATCTCAACCTTAGGATCACATATCTATGATGAACTTGGTAAAATGTTAGGGCAAAAAGTATCTAATATTAGAAGGATCCCCTTCTCAGAACTAGAGGTTAGAAAGACAAATACTACAAAGAAAGCTGTTAAAAAGGTAGTATAAAAAGCACTAGTTAAATAAATTATTCGTTTTTGCTCAGTCTGTAAAAAGGCTGGTCATATAAAGACTAATTGTCCTGAAGTTAAGCAGACTAAAAAGGTTAATTATGTATACCAATATGTTGAGAAAGATTCAGTCCCAAAAGGACCTCCTGATGACTCTAAAAAACCTGAAATAGAATACATATTTGAGGAGGAGGAAGATCCCGAAGAGCCTAAAATAAAATACATAGTTGAGGATGAAGTAGAAGAAGATGTCAAATATGTTGATGATGATGAATCTATCTTAAATACCACTGACTGAAACTGCTATGCTGTAAATAAAAAGTGGTGTGAATTGAAGTATCTAAGAAAAAGACCTATAAGAAGAAATTCCCTACTTTCAAGTCTTGTAAAAAAGCAAAACCCTCAGCACCTATAACCATGATTGAAGATTATGTTTTTCTAATAGCCTTAAAATCTATATTATCATCAGTTATACAATATATTCCTAAAGAAATTCTTAAG